TTTTATGTTCGATTCTTTCATTCACTTATTTTTCCTTATTAAGAATTCAAAAGAAAAATATATTCCTTTATATTATTACAAAAGATAATCAAAACTGTCTCAATATTTAATACATTTTCTCTCCACTCGTAATTACTTTCTCGACCCACTTCCGTATTGAATTCCAAGAAAAGTCAAAAAAGACAAGATTTATTTATCAACGATCCGCGTTACGGGCAAAAAGACAACCATCAACACTGCACAGCCATTAATCATCGAAATCGTATTTTTTCGTCTAAGACCCAACTCGGGACAGAGAGGTGTGAATTGCATAATTTTTCAACCGAGAAAATGCTCCAACTCCAACGTGGTACCCAACGTTCACACATTTGTCTCGACTGACACAGATTTGACAAATCGTTAAATGTACACATATATAACCCCTGTTGGAAATGAATTTTTCCGCGCTCTTACTTTCCGCCATGTTTCCGGCCCAGGATTAATCGATAGCAATTCTTAACGCGTTACGAGGGAAAGTTGGAGGAAGTTTGAAACCTTGAGTATACCTTGAAGTGGAATTCGACACGAATTCGACAATGATATAGCAGAGGAGAACTCTTCCTCGTTAACAATGAACTACGAGAATTCTTTTCAAGGGTTTCGAAGGAACGGCTTCTGCCGATTGTCTATTATCAAAGTCCCCACAGAGATGTAATTTCACGACAGCCAAACCCTGATTCCTTCGTAACGGGATCGTGGCCCCGTTCGATGCTGACGAAACTTTTTTTCGAAGTAATTAGTAAGAGGTTTCGTTCCACTTGTGAGTTTTCTTTCTCTGCTATTGTGATTATTGATCTGTTGAATGAAAATGACTTACGATCATTTGATATTACATTATTTATATAAACATTGTGTTGGTAATATGTCCATATTTTCTTAAGAATAGGAAAATTTTGCGATAATTTATCAAGATATAAAAATAATACCCAAAATTGTCCAAATGAGATGATTCATTATAGAACGTTATTAAATTTATGGAAATTAATTGTCGATGAAATGGTACACAAGTGATGATTCATAAGTTCATAAATAAATAAACGCTAAACAAGTTTTTTAGAAAAATTCAATGGAATTCAAATTAAAAAAAAAAAAAGAATTTAAACGAAAATTTGATTGATCTTTTGCGTGAAAAGAAGTAAGTATACACGTGCACATATACGCAAAAAAATTTCCAAGTTGAAAAATTTGCTGAAGTTAGTCTATACTTTTGCAAAAAAAACAAGGTAAAGCTTGTATTTACTTCTAAAAAAATCTAAAGCTACGAAGCTCAATAGTTTTGTTTGAAATGTAGTGAAGTTTTTAAAAAAAATCCTTTTACATGTTGTTTTATAAAAAACAAACAGTAAAGCTTTCTATTCAAACTAAAAATACGCGAAAAATTTCATTGAAATATATTAATTTATAGATAGTCGAACAAATAAAAAAAAAATAATAATAATAATATAAAAGAAAAGAATATAATTATTTTGTTAGCTATCTAATAAATTGTTATGCATTTCATTTAATTTTTTCAATTATTATAGAACACAAAATTTCCTCCACATTTTTTTTTTTCATAATTATGTTCAAATTCTAAATCGATTTACCATTCTAATGACTCGTATCTAGAGTATCATCCTTTTGTTACAATTGAAAAGTGAATTTTAATGCACGTATCGATAAAAATGCAAGGATTTTGGCGAAATTCTCTTCGTTGGCATAAAAAAAAGAATCGCTGCAGGAACAGACTACTACAATGTTTCCTCTGATTCTTCTCTATTTTTAGCTTTCATTTATTCGACTCTCGTATTCCTTCTCCTTTTTCTCCCTTCTCTCCAAATAAATTCCATCGCAGTTTCCGAATTCCACTCCTGAAACGAAACGAAACACGAAACGAATGAAAATTTAAAAAAAAAAAAAGAAAAAAGGAAGAAAGAAAAAAAGAAAGAAAAAAACGAATAAAGAAGAGAAGGGAAAGGGAAAAAGAAGCGGATGTACGTAGACGCTGTTTGGACGTTATCCCCCGTGTTTCCTTCCGTATTCTCGCTTTTTCATTTTCACTGTTACTACTCGAATTTATGAAGAACGTTCATCGAAATAATAATAAATCGCGCGGGGGCAGAGCGTTTGTTACATTTAAAAACGCGTTACTCATCGGCCACGAACACGACAGAAACGTCCGGGCATTTGTTCTTATACCGAACATTCCATCGCGCATTTGTTTCGAACATTTATAGCGAAACATCGATCCCTGCATTGGATTTTAAGCGATGTTTGTTAAAAGATTCGCGGGGATATCCGGTGCAGTGAATTCAATTTGTTTAATTTGCGTTGATATCGATTTTGTAATGCAGCATCGTAAGAGCGATGTCGTTCGAAAGATATTGATATTGATGTTGCGTTACAATTGGAATTTTCGTGAATCGTATGAAAATTATATTAATTTAATTCGTAGTTAACTTTTTAGAAATAGAATAGAATATATTTTATTCTTATTTCTTAATCACAACATTTATATTACGCCACTCTTTATAAATTTTAATTGAATTTAATTTAATATATAGGATAAATTTTTGTATGAAAAAGAATGCCAAGAGGAAACGAATTATTTAAAGTAATATAACAAGTTGAAATAGCAAAAGCTTTGAAAGTAATTTTAACAAGAAATAAAGAAAAAAAATAAAAATAAAAAAAGAAGAAATATACGTCAAGATGCAACGCGTTATGAAATTTTTCTCTTCGTTTGTCAAATTCAAGATAACATTTTGCAACGTGTATCAATTTCAAAAAGAGAATAAAAATTGCACGGTGATGTATCAAGAATAAAAAATAGCATTCATAATAATTTTTATCTTTCTGGCCCATTGCAACGTAGCCTGGTCAGGTGTAACATCAATAACAGATATAAAAATCACTAAACCTACTTTTGAAATGATAATAAAATGATAATAAAAATAAAACTCTATACAAATCAAATGTTACATAATTTATAATCGAACAAAATTGTATTCTAAATAACAATAAATGCAATTATATAATAACTTACATTTATTTTGCACATTTGAATTAAAATCGAATATTTAACGCAGAGAAATGAATAAATTAAAAATAACGAATTAAAATACAAAAAAAATACAATAATTAATATTTTTTTTCTTACAATCAACCTACGAATCTTATAGAATCTTAATTAAGAGAAATATCATCAAAATTGTTCATTTTATGCAAATCATGACATCTTTTGTCCCTAATAACCGACTCCCACGAAATCCTTTGCCTCCGACGAATTTCTAATCATCGATCTAGTCAAATTACCGCCATATTCCTAACACCAAATGTTCCCATATCCAAAGAAGGGGAATCTTGTAATTTTACTGATGAGTTCATTTGTAGGCCTATCTCCGCTTATCAACCATTCCTCCTATTGTTGCCTAACTCGCATTAGCATGATTGTCCTGCGAGATGGCACAAAAACTAATTCAAGCAGTCACGTTTGCGAGTTAACTTACATAAATGCTAATTGGGAGGATCACCTATCTCCGTGTTATATCCAGTTTGCTTTTAATGCATTACAAATAATATTTGAATATTGAGAAAAGAAGAGTTACAGTTAAAATATATGGTCTATTTTACATCACAAATAAAGTCAGAAAGATTGTATACTTTAAAGTTGGAGTTGAAAGTAGAAAATAATGCGATTATATTAGTGTCTTCGTTTATGAGAAAAAGTCAGATTTGAAAATTAATTAAATAATATAAATTTGGTTAGATTAACGAGGTTGATTAAATAAATAATTAAGTAATTAAATTTAAGCAATCAATAATTAATATAAATAGGTATATTCGACGAATTTTATTTTTTCAAAATCGAGAACAAACAAGTTTCATTCTATATTTTTTAGTTATTTTTACACGTAGATTCCAATCTATTCCCGATTATCTGATCGTATCCAATTGGAAATAAGCCAAATACACTTCTACTTGACTGAATTTCAAGAAACATTCTCCCTTAAAACTTCCAATACAATTTTGTTATTCCCAATTTTCTTTCCTATTCGAAATTATCTTTTTAACTTTTATTTGACCACGAATTACCGTGCAACAATTATACTCTAATCATTTTCAAACTCGATAAAAATAAACAAATTCGTCCATTCAATAAAAGCGCATTAGCTCAGTGGTGTAGCTCGTGCTTTGGGTATCGAGTGAAGTCGTCGACATTTTTTTTTTTCTCGAAAGTTTTAAGTAAATTTTAGCCGATCCACTTGCGATTCACAGCTTGCCGTGGCCCGCTTAACCGAATAACTTACTTTCGATGCCATCACCAGTTCTCAGAACGATAATGATCCATTAAGAAACTCGGAACTCGGCCACTCCCGTGAATACTCGACGGGTTACCTGG